CTTTTCAGTTTAAACAATAGAGGTAGTGTGTATATTGCAGTGAGCCGAGATCGCGCCACTGCACTCCAGCCTGGGCAACAGCGTGAGACTCCGTCTCAAAAAAAAAAAAAAAAAAAAAAAAAAATAGAGAAGAATGAAAATGAAAATTAAAGTGCAACTGAAAGTGCCAATGCGAGGGGAGGTCCTTTTCATATGCATGAAAAACGCCCCTTCCCATTTTAAGAATGTGAGCCACGACTCCTACATTTTTATTTCACACACTTTAGTACACGCACACTGGGATGTATATGCTAGGAAGCTTGCGTCCCTCGTGTTCCCCTTTGTGTGCCCGTCCTTGCGAGCGCTTATTATATATGTGTGCTATACCTTTACTATTACTTTTACTGTTATTTTTACTATCACTGTTACTATTACTATTACTGTTAGTATTACTATCACTGTTACTATTACTGTTATTTATTTATTTTTTTCTTTTTGAAGCTACTGCTCTACCCTTTTTTTTTCATTTTTCTTCCTAATGTCATGCCACTGGCATGTCAATATTTTTCTTACAATGTGAATAAGTTATATTTATCTATACAAATGGATTATTATGCAAATGTGTCTCTGCGCATGTGCGTACAGGGAAGTCATGACACTTGCCTGTTGCCGTGCTGGAATGGAGCTGCGCACATGTGCCTACGCCCATACGTGCATACTCGCATATGTGCTTGCGCCTGCGCCGTGGTAGGCAACGGACCTACACGCGTTAGCGGATATTACTGCGCAAATGCAACAGCACATAAGTAGTATCACATCACATAAAAAAAAAAAAAAAACGCGTGACTATATATATATGCATGAAAGTATATATACGTACAAGTGTTTTATCGGCAGGTACATAGTGCTCCTTTTTTTTTCTTATCCTATTTAACTGTCAATTATTTAAAACCCCCTAGATTAAGAAAAAAAATAAGTATAATTTTTCGTGCGTGTCTCCTGGACCGTTTTGTAAAATAAGACGGAAACATGTGCAGGTAGGGGAAGCGGCGTTACCTAAGTGAGTCCCAGATGGGAGATACAGTTGCGGTGTGCAATTAACGTCAAAAGGGGATAGCTTGTCCTGCACGGCATACTTGCCGGAAAGTGATGCGAAAGGACGGGGGGAGGAGAGTCCCTTGTGTTCATATGAATAGATTCAATTTCTTGGGTTCATATGAACAGATTCGATTCCTTGGAAGACGTCAGAAAAAATGTGAGCATTTTTTTGAGCTTCTTTTTCAGTTCGTCGTCGTCTAGGCAGTCCAAAAAATCTGCACGAGGGGGGAAGTTAAAAAGGACACATGGGTAAAGCTGCTAGCGTTAATACTTCTGAAGCTGACGCGCATGCCGAGTATGCGCTTTCCTACCCAGTATGTTTTCATATATGGACTGTATATCAACACTGCGTGTGTAGAGGTGAATAAAAATATTGTTTGAAATGTACGAGTTGTTCTGAAAAAAAAGAGCTATCAAAATGACGTCGGTGAGCTGATAAATGAGGTAGCCCTTGTCACACAATTCGATGTATTCCAAATTTTTCTTGCAATCATCGTCAATTTGAATGTTCATTTTTTGGAGGTTTTCATTTAATAATAATCTTTGCTTTTTTTTCTTCTTCTCGTTGAGAATAATGTCGCTATATTTTTGTCTGATTTCTAGCAGTCGACTTATCTTTTCACATTTTTTTTCTCCAAATTTGTTGAGAACTCTCCCCAGTGAAGTATCACTACAGTACAGGCACAAGTTGGAAATGACGGTGACTATATTTTCCTCGAATTCAAAAATGTGCACTTTACTCTTTTTAATGTTCCTTAACATAAATAAACAGAAGAGATATTTCAGCCCGTTTAACTGCACAAATCTGTTACACGTATCTTTGTCGTTAAGTGTGATGGCAAAAATTTTAAGAGCGGGGAAGCAAAGGAATTTCCTCTCACTCAGTAACTTTAGCATTAATTCAAAACCATTCGTGCTATCGAATACGTCTCTGTTGTCACTTAGGAGAAGCAAATTTCCAAGCGCTTGAAAAATGTTAAGTAATATTTCTTTCTTGTTAATGTTTGGGGGGTCATTATCCTTGTATTTTGAAATGTACTTCAAAAGAGAGTTAAAAATCGAAATGGTGTAATAAAAATCCTTGTATACATTTTCTGCAAATTGATTAATTCTCAAAATTAGGAGGACTAATATTTCACTTGCGTTTAACGAATTCGAGTCATCACTTCTCAGCTCCGTACTTATTCTTTTTAAGAGAAAAAATAATAGCTTCGAATTGGTTAGCAAATCATTTTGTAAATCATTTTCCAGCTCGAAAATATTTTCCAAAATGTTCAGAATGGAGGACATGGCATTGTAGTACTCCTCATTCTCCTCTTCATTTATTTTGTCCAATAAGTTTATAAGAAAATGGCACAATTTTTTCTTGTTCAGACATTCCACTACCATGTCATTTTCCTTTTTGTTCAATTCGTACAAATTCGACGGGTTGGTTATTTCCTTAATTATGTCTATCACCTCAATCACGATGTCGTTGTTCGGGTGATTTAACAAGTCAATGATGTCTCCCAAAATTTCGCTCTCAACCATGCTACTGTACAGGTTTGAGCACACACTTAGGTTTTTTATGTTCACTAAAATTTCGTCCAGATCCACTTCGCTCATCACCCACTTTTCGGGGTTGTCTGGGTGTTCCATTCTGTCTCGCTCATTTTTGTTTTTTTTTTTTCTGAAAACGGTGGCCAATTTTTTGATGCTGTTTTCGTCTACGCAGTCGATCTGAGAGGGGGGGAAGCAAAGGGAGGGTTGGTAAATGACGGGGTATGTACAGAGGGCGACATGAGGCAAACACATTATGACGGAAATGGACTCGTTTACACGAGGCGGCTACACGGGGGGTAAAGAAGTGGGTAAAAGCCAAAGCCTGCTTTATGTATCTCCTTTTTAAGCCACTTCGTTATCCCCTTTAAGCTGCTCCACAGGTTTACGTTCTCGGCCTGCTTAAGAATTTCCTCCACATCAATATCGTCCTCGTCGCTGTATTCCATGGTGCGCCGTGGTTACATTTTATGAGGTAGGAGGGGGGCAAAACCCCAGGAAAGGATCCAAAAATGAAAGCAAACGGAGTGACAACAGGAACAGAAATGTTTTGATATAAAGGGTTGTAAAGCGGATGGCGCGCGTTCAATAAGAAACGTTAGCCAAAAAGGGGTCTATTAATTTTTCACATTTTGTGAATTTCCTAATATTTGAAAAGGAAAAAAAAAAAAAAAAAAAATTTTAGTAAGTGAAGCCAATTATGTGCCGCCTTGTGAATATATCTGGATGAACAAATGGAAAGAAGCAGATAGAAATGTAGCAGACGTTTTTCTAAAGAGTCACCAAAAGTGACTTTGAAATTTTTTATCGTGAAGTAGGACGCATAACGTGACGGGAACGCTTAAAGCAGGGTGGGAATCTCTTTGGGAGTACATTTTGAGCGGCATAGAAAAGGCGCACCTCAAAAAGAAAGGCATTTTCTATTATCCGTTCAACATGCATATAAATAGAAGGACCATTTTAAAAAGAAGGAAAAACTATGGAAGGATAATTCACAAGAGAGGGGAACTACCTAACGGGTTATAATTAACCAAAAGGATTATCCTACCGTTTAGGTGAGATGATTCGAACTAGGCAATTATTTACCGATTAAGAATGGTAAACGAATCGGGGGAAAAAGACCGCACAGGACGGAGAGAAAAAACATGCTACACCGGATGTGAAGATATAGCCCATAAATGAAGGGGATAACAGGAAGGAGAGGCATAATTATGCATTACCCCTTAGTGGATTAGTTTCCCCCCCTTTTTAACATCATTCCATTTTGTAAGAAGCGAAATCGCAAAAAAGGTCTCCATCAAGGGAAGCACACTGGACCTCAACCGTCAATTCGTGCTTTTCTTATACATCATATATTTTGAGCACACTTTGCCCCCTGTTTCTAGTCTACACCTGCTAGTGGGCGTACATTTTGTACGTTCTGTGGCTGTTTGTGTAGCCCCCAATTTGCTTCCCCCTTTTGTGAAATGGGTAGTTAGTCTAATGTGAAAAGGTTTTGCGTAGCAAGTAAAGATATAGCGTGCTACATATTATTGTTTTTTTTTACTCGCCGATTTGAAAAGGGATAAGTGGAGTTGTAATTTTGTAATGTTAAATTAACGCGTTAGTAATTTAGTAATTCGTACGGGAGGGATTACCACCATAGAGGGAATGTGGACCAATACGTAGACTAGATGGAGCAGGTCGGGACCCTGCATGGGTGACGAAGAGAAAAGTATCGTAAGATTGACAACTAGCGATAATCCACCAAGACATTCACACATCAGGAACATCAACACTGTAATTCATTTAACGAGTGCAAAGTACGGGATGGGGTTAATGTTACAATTCATCGGACTGCGGAAAAGGCGTCTACGCGGAATGGAAATTAATCACTTTTGTGGGAAAACGAATCACGGAGAGAAACAACGTGGTGCACTTATGGAGACGCCTTTCGCGCAAAAGTGAGGGAAAAAAAAAATAAAATGAGAAAACGCAAAAAGGCGTAAAATCGTGGAATCGAACAAACAGACGAGCAGACGAAGAGACGAAAAGACGAACAGATGAATAAATGAACGAATGTAAGGGCGCAAAATTCAATGGGGTGAAAATAAGACAAAAAAAAATACACAAAAAAAATTCGTTTCAAACTGAGTTCGTTCGATGAGGGGGGGGTGCAAAACAAAGGCGCAGACGCGCTGCCCAATGGGTATATCACTTGTGGCGGGGCTCTGTCCACACGCTCGGGAGGGAGGTGGAAAGTAAAAATAAATGCGGAAAAATGGGTGGGCAAAATGGGTGAGTAAAATTGTTTGGCAAAATGGGTGAGAAAAATTGTTGGTCAAAATTGCTGGGCAAACACAACAAATCTTGGCAGAGTGCCTCTCGCCTCCCCCGCGGGGGAACTACAAAATTTGCCTAAACAAATTTACGGCGAAGCTAATCAAGCTGTTGGATAGAGACACAAAGTGTAACTTCACAGTGTCGTTGGAAGCGCCATTTTTTTTTTTCACAAAATCGCACACAATTAGCAAAATCATCTTACATTTGGCATTAACAGGATATGTGCTGTACAGAATGTTGTAGGAATCAAAATGGAAAACGTTAAACGAGTTGTACAGTTTTATCGAATTAATAAAATCCTTAAACGTTGAAAAATCTAGCATATTGTAGTAGTACGATTTGTAATAATATTTATGCTTCTCTGAGAAATTTTTTACAAAATCGTTGAGATAAAAGCTATTTGGTTTGAGGAGGAATAAATGGGGCAGGGGTAAAGTGATTTTCAACTTGATGATACTATTGTCATTGTTTAGGCATTCCACATTTAAGAATACGGGCAACTTTTGAAGATGATTTTTTTTAAAGCATAAGGTGTACAGTAAACAAATTTCGTTTTTCTTTAAATTTATGTAGTCATTTTCCTCTGTCACTTTGTTATAATTTTTTTTCAAATTTCTTTTTATCACCTTGATGTGGTCCATTTGGTTTTCACTCAGATCACTTTTGATATAGATAATGTTGTACAGAATTGATTTAACGTAGATATTCATGTAAATGTTTTCTTTTTTGAGTGTTTTCTCTGGTTTGTTCTCCTTGCCCTTTTTACAGTCGTTGCGTGTGGTGTCACCATCTTTGCTGTTAACTATGTTGCCGTCATTTTTGCATATACCATTGGCACTTCCAGACGGAGGAACTTTGCTCGTGTCACCATTGCTATCATGGCTGTCGGGGGATAATAACGCCTCCTTTTTGTACCCATTGCTTTTCCCTGAAGGTTCATTCACATAGTAAAGTTTGGCATATAGCTTAACAAGGGTGTTTTCAAAAATCAGGCCCTTCGTATTCTTGCTGTAAAAATGGCGCAACCTATTTTTATGCTTCTTTATGTCGTCATCTGATAAAAACTTGGACTTTATTTGTGTGCTAAGATAACTATCGAGATAGGAAAACGTCTGTTCCTTGTTATTGAATTTGTTGATAATTCTTTCCAAATTTGTGAAGTAGCCTTTTTTGTTCAACTTGACTGCATAACTTATTTTGTCGCTGTTATTGGAGAGAAGGCTTCCTTGTAGATTTTTTGACACCTTCACAAAGTAGTTAAATTTTTTTTCGAAACTTTTGTAGTCACTCATGTAGTCGTTCGTTGTCTTCTTTTTCAAGTGGATGAATCGCTTATGCTTGGCGTCTTTTCCCTTTTTCTGCATTCCATTTCGACTCCTTCGTCGGCTGCTTCCTCCGCTGCTATCGTGACGGGGACCTCTTTCTTCGTCAAATTGCTTCTCCCCTAAGGGGTCGTCCCACAAGGGTGAACCCTCCTCGTGCTTCCTCTGCTTCCGTCTACTTCTATCCCTTTCGTTTAAATAAGTATCACTGAGTATGTTCTTCTCTTTTTTGCTTCTCACTTTGGATGGACCTTCCACCCCCTGGGGTGCGTCATCGTTGGACATTTCACAGTTACTAAAGGTGTAATTTTCGTTGTACACCAATTTGTTTCTCTTTTTTTTTTTGTAATTACTTAAGGAGTGTTTTTTCCTATCTTGTTTCTCCCTTCTGGTTCTCAAGGGGAGGAAACTCCCATGGTAATCATCATAGTATTGATCCGCATCACCTTCATCCATGAGGTCCCTGCGCAGATCCTTTTTACCTTTTCCCTTTGTAGTTCTCTCCCCTGTTTGTTTCACCGCATAACCAGGCTTCTTCCCCTGCTGCGTCTTTCCCTTTTTGCTTAATTCAGGGCGTCCTCTTCTGGAAGCATGATTTTGGTTATTTTCCCCTTCTTGGTTTTTCTCCTGCTTTTTGCCCCTTTTCTGTTTTTTCAGGTGACCCCAATTTGCGTCATTTTTTACGTTGAAGGAAAATGTGCTATTCGTGTCGTTATTTGAGCGATCTCTCGAGTGGTTAAAAGAATCTTCATGGAAAATATCGTTTGTATGGTGCCTAATTTGGATTTCGCTGTTCATCTCACTTAGGATTCGCCTCGTTTTGATTTTTTCTTTATTACTCAGTAGGTGGCTCTTTTGCCCTTCCCCTTTGGATTCTTTCCCCTTTTGCAGTTCATCCATTCGCTTCACATTCAAGTCGAAGGAGTGCCTCTGATCTTTCTTCGCCTCTTCATCGCTGCTCCAGTTCATTTGGGGAAACCCATATGGGCGGCTATTATGGGAACTTTTCTGTTTTCGTTGATTCTGGGGTACCCCCTTGAGTGTACTTTTTTCATCCCGTTTTTCTTTCTTCTTCTTCTTCTTCTTCTTTGCAAATGGGTGATGGATTTCCCCGCTTCGAAGATGATTCTCTTGATTTATTTCTGTGGATGAAGTCGCGGTGATATATTTTTTGTATCCCTTCACCAGAAAGTCATCAATGTGGATGTCCTTTTCTTCATCCTGCGATGCGTCCAATTGGTCGGAGAGAGTGGCACTTTTGGAAGCATCAACATTGGCCATGGGTTCCCCTTTTTGAAGATTACATCTGGCCGTATTTCTTCCCCCTTTGGTGTTGACTCGTGGGAGGAGAACACCATTGCTGTTGTCACTGCTGTAGTTGAGAATCTCCTTTTTGGGATCATTAGGTATGCCTAGAATTTTATACAAAAGTTTTTGGTTCACATTAACTCTTTTCTGACTTTTGATGAAATGCTTTAGCATAGTCTCTTCGTACTTGGAACCGGTCTTCACATAACTGCAGTTGTTTGTGATGTCGTCAGGCATATCCTGGTAATCCCTACCAATCTGTAATCCCTCTATACCCCAATTCATTTTTTTTAACGTCATTAGACTTAACATATTGGCGTCATCGTCGCAACTGCTCTTGTGGATATGTTTTACCAAGTAGGATAAGTAGAGCAGAAGTTTTTCATTTTTCATCTGGGCATTTTGCAGTTGGAATAGCAAATTGTTTACCTTGCTGTTCAGGTTTTCATTAACTTGATTATAATCTTTTAACTTCATTTTATTTTCCTTAAAATTGCTACTCAGTTTGGTAATTTGTTGGGATAAAAAAACGTTTTCTTTTTTATTTTCTTCGATAAGTTTTTCTGCCTGTACAACTCTTTCATTTTCTTTTTCCAATTTTTCTATTTTGTTATTTTTCTTCTTTACAATATTTTCGATTACTTTAATTATTTCTTTGTTCGACTCGATAATTTCCTTCAACTTGTTGTTTGCTTCTACGTAACTTTCGTTGTCCAGCTCGAGAAGCATTACTGCCTTGTCTAGTTCTTCGATTTTCTTTTCATTTTCTTTGTTCTTATTTTCATAGTACACCTTTTCTTTATTGGACACGTTATATAGTTGCTTGTATAGGTTCAGATTGTTCTGTTTCATTAATTCCGTCTCGTGATCAAAATCTTTGTTTTTTAAAAAAATATTCATTATGATGTAGGAGCAATCACTTGAGAAATTCTTTTCATTTTTAGCTTGCTCCTTTTTTTTTTTTTCTTCTTCCGCTTCATTTGCTTTTTCGCTTCCTTTTGTTATCCTGCTGCTAGGGGAGTCGACCTGGGGGGAGCCGATTGCGTCTTTTTTGCTCGTGCCGGTGTTGGCTTCGTCCAGGTCGAAGGGGTCGAACGGCTCGAAAGGGTCTAAGTTGGCTTGACCAACGTCGGGGTGACCAATGTTGTAGTTGCTAAAGGTGGGGTTACTGACACTTCGGTTGGGGCCTCCAAATGATGGGTTTCCAAATGATGGACCTCCAAATGAGGGAACTCCAAATGATGGGCCTCCGAATGAGGGGCCACCAAAGGAAGGGCCTCCAACGTTTCGGTAGGCAAAATTAGGGCTGCCAAAATTGGGCGTGCCAAAGCCCTGGTTGCCATTCCCCCAAGTGGACATATTCCTATGGGCGACGTTTCTGCTGACGAAGTTGAAGTTGTTCGAATTGGGGCCATTCTGATTGGTGCGTGAAAAATTGAAGTTGGTCAAATTGGGGTTCCGCAGGTTCTGGTTCATGGCGTAGAAGTTGTTGGGGTTGGCCCACGCCACGGGAAAATCGTTCAAGCGGTTGTTCGCGCGGTTCCTGCCAGTGGGGTTAGCACCGATGAGGTCATCAGTGGGGGGGTTGCCATGAAGCTCGTGACCCACTACGCGACGATCAAAAGAACTTCCCCCCGGGAAGGAATTAAGTGTGGGAGATATAAACGAGAAATCTTTCATATCGATATCGAAGTTTTCGTCCTTGGAATTTTGATGGCTGCTAGGAAAAATTATCGGGTTGGTAGGAATCGAATTTTGGTTCCCCCCGTTGTCATCAACATTGTCACTAACTTGTGTTAATAAAAATGCCGTAGGGACAAAAAATCGAGTTTTCTTCAAAATCCTATTATTCAAATTTATTAAGCACGTGTAACAATGACTGTTCTTGTCTGTGTCTACTACCTCTATGTACAAGAACAATTGTTTGTTGTGAAAAACGGAGAATTCAAAAAGTTCAGATACGTTTACAGAAAAATTATCAACGTGTTTATTTTTGCTTTTCTTTCTTATACTAATTTTGTTATCAATCGATTTTAGTGTTAGAACAATATAAATCGTTTTAAGATTTCGTGAAACATTTATAATATCTGATATGTGAATTACTATGACCACTGGGTGATGGTTCCCGTGTGAGCTGATTACTTTTCTCCCTTTGTTTGTTTTTCCCTTTGTAGTGCTGCTGCTTCGCGGACTTAAATTGTCTGGCGAATCGATTTGATTTTTTCTTAAAAACGAGTCTTCACTGTCGTCTTCGTCTTCATTATCGTTATCCTTATTGTGCTGTCTCTTTATTTTTCCATCATTCTGTTTTTTCTTTTTTTTCTTCTGTTGCTTTTTCTCTTTCAATTGAAAATCGTCCAGGTCTTCTTCTATTTCGCTGCTCAGCATGTTCATAGTATCATGGAAAGTGCCAAAGGCTTTGTTAAAAGATTCTAGAGAGTCTGACTTTATCATTTTTTTATTATCATTCGTATCTTTTTCTTTGCTATTATTTTCTTCGTCACTTTTGAAGTACTTCCTTCTTTCTTTTTCCTTCTCCTTTTCCTTCTTTTTTTTTTTCCTCTTTTCATGTTCTTTTCTTCTTCCGGAGCTTCTGCCCAAGCTTCCACTTCTACTATGGCTTCTGCTCCTGCTTTGGCTTTTACTTCGATTCCTTCCTTCGCTGTCTTCCTCCTCGTCACTCATGCTTTTGTATTTCTTCCCTCTCCTCTTACTGTCATGTTTTTTATACCCTTGATGCGATTTTTTCTTTTTGGAAAAGTCCCTATCGTCGTGTGCCATTTGGATTGCCCCATTTTGCGGGGACCCTCCTCCTTCTGAGAAAGTCCTCGGGCGCTCCTTGTGGTTTTTCTCGAAGCTTTCGAACAGCTTGATGGATCGGTTCACGTGGGTTGACGCCTGCGCAGGAAGGGTTCAACAGGAGGGTGTACACATGAGTGAATAACTTCACAAACGAATAAACTCATGAAACGCATTCATCTTTGCAGGAGTATAGATGCCCCGCTGCACCAATGCGCAGGCTTGAAAAGAAGGAATAACCATACCTCTACTAGCTTCTCAAACAAATTCGCGTTTCCCTTTTCCAGAGCCTCCAGCGTTAGCTTCTCCAGAGTCATTAGGTCTCTAAAGGAGGGGAAACACGCGATCATGTGAATGTCTGCGCATCATCAAACAAGCTGTGTTTACGCAGGCACAAATATCGACAAATACGCATCTGCTCATTGATGTATTGTGAACTTCTGGCAGACTTCCACAATAGATGTTTTTTCGCGCTCCTTACTTTTTACATTCCGCGTAAATGTCCTGCATCACTTCGATATCTACATAAAGCAAAAAAAAGAAAGGTGCCAATTTGAAGTGAATGAATGTGCCAATTTTTGCCGTTCGTTTTCAATCATACGCGCTCACATACGTTGGCTCTCGTGTGTGCAAAGCTAATCCTTCATTACCCGTTGAGTTGTACCGTACACAAGCCTCCAGCTGCTTGGCTAGGTCTCTAAAATTTATGATATTCTCCTTAATGTTCTTCATTATTTCGAAGATGACAAATTTTAATTAA